ACAAGCTATCACATGCTATCCTATTCGAATTAAAAACTTAACTATTTTTATTTCATTTCCAAATTATTAAAACTCTTCATGGGATTGATACTTGGACTTAAAATTGAGAAAACTATAATTTGACCACTTATACTTAGGTGTATAATATTAATCCGATCACGAAAAAGTGCAAATCAATGGTAGGCTTTTATGATTGAGCCTAAGAGAGGGGAGGATCTAAGGGGAAAGGAGAAGTTGTCTGGTGTGCTTAATTTAGTAAGAAGAATTCTTGAATTTGAGCTTTTTTCTTTTTTGACGATAGACCTATCACAAATAATGAGATAATTTTTGGGCCGTTGTTTTGATGTGATGGTTTATTGATTTTTTAATTTGAATATATTGTAAGAGAAAATTATAGATATTCATAACTTTTCACAGATTATATGCAGATTGTATGGTTTGATGCGCTTAGATAATTGCCTCTTTGAACTTTTATGTCTTCTGAAATTGTAACATTTTTTGGGTAGCATGCAGGGGTACAAAATCAGGGGATACCTAATGTTCCAGAGAATCAATTATTCTTTTTCCTACTGCCTTTTTTATTGTGGAAAACAAGACAAACAAAGAGAACAACAATTTAATAGTCATATTGTTTCAAAGTTGTAATAGAATTTGCAAGAATGAAAACATCGAGAACAATGCATCAAGTTTAAAACACAAACCAATTCAACAACAGAATGAAGAACAAGGAGGTGAAACACCAATAACCCAAATACCATAAAACTTACATAAAACAATAAAAGATCAGAGAAGGAGAGAGACCAACCTGAGTGATCTACAGAACTAAGAAGCTGTTAAACCTCAACAAGCTCAAACTTCCACGCTTTGTTACGTATGAAGAGAATCAACACAGAAGGTAAGAACAAGCAGCATATCCATGCGAAATAGCAATATCAAGATATCCAGGGCTAGGTCCAAAATAGAAAGACAGGCGGAATGTGTGTTTCCAATGGAGAGAGTGAATCAAATTGCAATTGGGTGTATAGGAATTGCTACAACCCAAATTGATTACTGATATAGGCATTGTAAATTCATACACTAAGAATCAGAATACGTAAAGGCAGAAGGAGTGAGGGCAACAATTATTGGAATTGGTAATTGATGATTGAGACATTATGTATCAGTTACTGTAGAAGGATTGCGCTTTCAACTTCCATTGAACAAAGCCAACACCAACGCCACTACGAAGCCACTGACATGGATGCCCCCAGACGACAAAAACATCGGCTGATACCTGAGGAGTCGGCTTATATCTAGACCGGCGGGGGTGGAAGGTGGCGGTGGAATTTTGCTGTAACGATGGGAGTAAGGGCTTAGGGGGAGGGGTTACATCGGTTTGGATTTTGCATTTATTCTGTGGAGAAGGGAGAGGGATAGAGTACAGGGCTTTCCTATAATGATTGAGAGGATATACATGACTTTAAAGAATAAATTAGTTATTCAAAAGTTTTACATTTACCTTCCTTTTATAACTAGTATAGATATAAATATAAAAATAAAAAATTATATGTAAGTGTCTTACTTATAAAAGAGTTTAAAAGAGTCTAGAAGTCAAATAACATTTTGGTAAGTTAAATACTATTTAAAAAAGAATCTAAAAGAGCTTAGAAGTCAAATACTACTTATAAAAGTGTTTAAAAGAATCTAGAAGTCAAATAAGTATACAAAATAAAAGATAGATGCAAATAAATATGAGAATATACTTAACTTTATGATAATAGTTATGGATAAAATAATGCAATTAAGTTAATACATAACTTTTTAAATTTCAAAATATAGAAAAAAATGCCCACATTTTAATGATACGTGCATTTAGCAGATTTATGTGTGCTCTATCTTTGCATGTTGATGAAAAAAAAATAGTAAAAGAATTTCCTACATCAATCATCGAGTAAACTTGAGTTCAATGACCGAGTTTATTGAAAATGGGTATTTATACTTGGCTAAAAAAAAATAAAGGATGGTCTGAAGGATATTTTATTCTCGAATTTATCAATGAGCCTTTGGTCTAATGGTACTCTTTGTCCTGTGAAATTTTTATCTCTTTGAGGTCAAAGGTTCAAGTCTCCCGTAGAGGTGCAACTTGGGCGGGCCAACCCGAATTCAACCCAAAAAAATAGGGCTTGGGTTGAAATTTTTAATACTTGGGTTGACCCTGTGTCAAAAAATCCTAACCCTAATTGAATTCGGGCAGGCCTTGGGTTGATGCCTCGGATTTTCGGGTTTATGCCGAACCCAAAAAATTAAAAACAATTATAAATATATATATATAAAACATTAGCACTACGGTTATCAAAGCACATCGCCTCTCTCATTCTCTCTGTCTCTCTCGTTCTCAACGTTTTCTCTCTCTCTCAGCCTCTCTTTGGCTCTCTCTCGGCCTCCCTCTCATTCTCTCTATGTGTCAAAGACCACAACGATGCATCTCAGATTTGGTGGCTTTGTGGAAAATGTCTGTGGTGTGGTGGAGATCTAGTGGCTGTGGTGCCAAAGGCCACAATGATGGTCAGATCTGGTGGCGGTGTGGCGGCTGTGTGGGTAGTGACATGGTGGCTGTGGTGGCAATGGGCAATGGTAATGGTGGTAGTGGCAGTGGCTATAGGTAGTGGTTGTGGTGACAATGACAGTGGAAGTTGCAATGGGTAGTGGTTGTGGTGGAAAATCTGAAGAAGTTAACTACAAATCTGGAGAAGATCTCTGTTTAATTTTTTGTTGTTCAATTTTTTGTGTTAATTGAATAAATTTATGCCATTACATTAAACACTATGTTCAGATCTCTGTTTCTTTTTTTGGATTTGCATTTTTTTGTTTAGATTTCTACTTCTTTCTCTTGTTCAATTTCTTCGTATTAATTGAATAAGTTGCTACCATATTGAACCCAAATTAAATCCAAAATTGAACCCGAATTCAACCCAAAACTGAACCCGATTTAATAACTTGAGTCTAACCCGAATTCAATCCGAGTTCGCTCGAATTTAACTTGAGTAGTACTCGGGTTAAGTACCTTGGGTTGAGGTTGGGTTAGTGTCGAAGATTATATACTTAAAATTGGACTAGAGTTGACCTCTCAACCCGCCCAACCCGCCAAAGTTGAACTCCTAAATATCCCTCCCCTTCCTCAAAAAAAAATAAATAGAAATATTCTCGGATAGTGCTAGACTTATTAAAAAAATAGATTAAATGATATGTTGATGATATGGTGGTGGTTATGGTCCTATTAGTTTTATTCAAGACGCTCTATTATTTATTATTTCAATTACAATTTGACTCATTCCCTTTATATTTGTCATCTCAATTGTTATTTTTCTTGGATTGAACGTAAGAATTTATTGACACTTGAACAACTAGATTATGCACACGTGCTTTGCACATGAATTATTTTAAATTATAATTATAATTATAATTTTATTTTTATAATTTTTTGAAATAATCATGTAAATACAACAACCTAGAAATATTATTAAGACTTTTGAAGTATAAGATTTTTGTTGTTCTCTTAAGTGGCCACAAAGTACTATTGACTTTTATGGTATGGTCTCACACCCAAATATCTATATCTATATTTATATTTATTTATACTACTTATAAATATTAGCATTTGTGAAAAACTTTTGGCTTTCTATTTTATTCCTAATTATTATACTATAGTTAATTATACCCACCTATATATTTTCATCTAATTTTTATTTTTTTACTCCTATTTGACTTTTAACTTATTTTGGACTCTTTTATAAAGACTTCTAAATTTTTTTAAACTCATTTATTAGTAGTACAATTACATATACTTTTCTGTATGTATATAAAGAAGTAAAGTCATATATATGTTTATTAGTCGTGCATTGCTAGTATATGTACGTAGTGGTATGTAAAATATCAAAATTAATAAATAAATAACAATAAAAAATAGTAAATCATTTATGCCTTTGAATTGAAATTCGATGACAAAGTTAATTAAAATTGTAAAATTTGATTCTCAATTTTAGTGACAAGCCATGAATTCTACTTTATCAAAAGGAGCATAAATTCAATTAAAAAAAAATAAAAGAATCATACTTACCAACTCTAAAAATCAAAATATCAATAACCTTCTCATGTGAAAAGATCGATTTGCTCCTCAGTGATTGAGGAGCCTGGAACAAAAATATACCAATCAATAAAACACAACCTTTCATTACATAAAAAACACCATAATCACCTCAATTAAACTTTATATAAATCTTAAATATTGCATAACTCACATAATAAACTTCATTTTTATATGTTAATAAAGTTAATGGTTGTTGGGGGTGAACGAGGGTGATGATGCACAAAATAGACTAATACAAGATCAACAGTCGAGTGTATGATGCAAGGAAATTAATGAGGTAATTAATAATGGTAAAAAGGTAAATATTGGGTCAACACACAAATATATAGTGATTCGGTCCGGATGACCTACTCCTCTCTAGAAAATGGCAACGGTAGTTGAAAAACCTTTATTAATGAAGTAAGGTGAATGAAAGAGAGAAAAAGAGCAATTGTTAGCTCTGGGAAAGGTAAAATAGTTAGAAGAGAGAAAAGCTATGTGAGAGGTGTGTAGAGAGGTTGTAGAGAGAGATCATGCCCCCTCAAGTAGAGAGAGCTTATAATTTATAGGGACAGAGCTTTGGTTAAGGCGGTGACTTGAAGGCAAAGGTAATAGTTTTTAGGGGAACTACAAAAGTTAAGTACAATTTAATATTGTCTTAATCTTCGAGAGTGAGTATCCCAATAATTGCTCCCCACGCGCTCTAATTGTTCTTGGACTCCTTGGACTTTGGGCTAGGTTGGATTCACGAACTGAGTTTGACTTGCCATTTAGCTGATTTGGGTTTACTTGATTTATTAGGCCTGACCCAGTTGAATTTAGGCTCATCATTTGCCCCCCATGCCACAAGCCCTTAAGGTGGCAAGACGTTGAGGGCATGAGAGTCTTTGGACAGATGATGGTTTCTTATTTTGCATGATGGTAGCTTCTTTACCTGAAAAAGATACCTTGTCTTGCACGATGGTAGTTTTTTCAATCTCTTGCTCTGTTTACACCATGAGAGCTCGTTCTCTTGATTTGATAATCCTTGTAGTTGAAAACCTATTGTTCCGACGGCTATATTCCAATATTTAGGTAAAATCAACGGTGAGGTCTCCTCTTTTACCTAGGCATTTTCCCTTAGGTTTTAAAGTGCATTTCTTGGCAAACCCATTGTATTCCCCTTTAGAACTTAGGGATTGAAATTACTATCTCCCCCCTTCAACATTCCATAAATCATTGGGTAACCTTGAAGGAGGTGAGTATAGAGACAAGGGAGGAGGCGAAGAGGGGAATCTCTATGAAGAACAAGAGAAGTGAATTGAAAACTTCAGGTGGAGTATCAGTAAGGAGTACTGATGGCGACGGGGTCATGGTAGTTGGAGGTTCTATTGCGAAATCACAGAGAGAGAGGAGTACAGAGAGAGAGTCTCATAGCGCCATGGTAGGTGGTGGCGCTGATAGTGAATAAGGAAAGGGTGGCGCCTTATTTGGTATGGGTGATCCAGGCGTCAGCGAAGGCAGGATGGGCACAGGCGTCGCTAGTGGGGTCGTCATCTTTGGTCTAGGTGCTAGTGGAGAGAAGTCAATCAAGGCCAGGAATAGCCAAGGGCTGCGCTAGGTGAAGCCATGGGCGACACTGCGAATCCCCAGGCAACGTAGAGCGACATCGAGCAATGCCATGAACGACGCCTTGGTGAAGCCCCAGGCCAAGTTGGGTGGGCTCCTTGGTAGTGGCGAGTCAGGTGGAGGCTTTGTAGCGATCTCGCTAAAAGGAGATAAGACATGGAGGCTGATGGTGACGCCATTCTTGGGGGACTGGGCGATGCCAGTCTAATGTGTGGTGAGCGATGGGCAGGTGGGCGTGAAACGGTTGGTGCTGGCAGGTGTGGGCTAAACGTACTAGGCGACGGTGGTGGCTTGGGCTCCATGAGGGAGGGTGATGCTAGAGCGGTCGATACCGGCTGGGAGGGAGTCGATGCTGGGCTGGGCAACACCAACCAGGGCATTGATGAGCTCAAGCGCAAGTTAGGCGACAACGGTGAGCTGGGCGACGATAGGCACAGTGTGAGACCCAATCATGCATTGCATGCATATGAACATAATTTTGTGGGTTAAATTATAATAATGTGAAATTATTAAAGGATTAATTAAATTAAATCTTTCATAGTCATGATGTCTGTGAGCATATATTGGGTATGTGTACCCCGTTACTAATGTATTAGTGAGACTACTGATAGAAATTTCATGTGTAAAAACACTAGCGGGTCAATTTTGAAATCACTTAAAAACTTGGGGGGAGGCAAACAAAATTATTAATTTGTATGAAACATTTTTTTACATGTGTTTGCATTTGAAAATGGTGAGTCATGTGGGGTTGTTAAGTGGCTGTGTGTGTGAGTGCCGGGAGTGAGTGTGTGTGTTTTTAGAGTGAAGAAGTGTGCATGTGTAACTCAAGTGTAGATGTGTGTGTGTGTGTCTAAAAGATAAAAACAATGTATGTGTGTGTGTTCTGGCTTTGCTAGAAAAACTAAGAGAGAAGGAGAGTAGAAACTAATATATATATATATATATATATATATATATATATATATATATATATATATATATATATATATATATATATATATATGTGTGTGTGTGTGTGTGTGTGTGTGTGTGTGTGTGTGTGTGTGTAAACCGAAAGCAAGGAAGGAGAGAATTAGTGGGTTTCTAGCTCAAACCATGAATAGAGTTGGTCTTTGCATAGGGCTTGCTGTAAGTTATCTTCAATGTTCAATTTAATTTTATTACTCAATTACAGTAAAATTAAGGAGATTGTTTTATTTTAAGAGTTATAGAGATAATCTAAATTCCATGATTCATGATGTACAATAAATGATTTAGGAGATGATTCATAAGTAAGGACCACTCTATCTAATATAGCTACTGAAACATAGTTCTTCGTGATTAATCAACCATGTAGCTAGATTAATATGTAAGCTTTAATTTTTAGCTTATGATACCAGAATCTTTACATTATTTTAAGCCTTATTTTTTATATACGAGGGTATAGTAAGCTAGACAAGGAAAGCTATAGTAGTAGGAATAAAAGTTTTGTGTTATGGTTTCATGAAGGCATAAGTTGATAAATGAATTCACATATTTGAGTAGGGTGTGTAGATTTTATTAGAGAGGTGCATTTAAATTACACTAAAAAAATAAACTGAAGTGTGGTTACATTTAGATGCTCATGGGTAACCAATTTAGAATGCATTTGAGGGAATTTGGGTGAAGTTTTGGAAGAATAGGAAGGCTAGAAGTTATGTTCGTCTTAAAAAGGCAGACGACATACCTTGTAGTGGAATAGCAATAACTTTCCCTTGGAAACTTGAAATGAAGCACCGTTTGTTGGGTTGGAAACTAGAAACATAGATCTTTCCATTGGCATAAAGTAGAGCACATGGTTACCTCCCAGAAAATACTTGTGTTAATTTAAAGTTATGTGAAAGTAGAGGAGTGATTGTAATGTTTCGAATTCTACGTTTTATTGAAAAATAATTGGAATGGGTGGTTTAAGGGTTCAACTAAGGGGCTTCTTTGCATGCTTAGATGTGGTTTGTGAGTTAAGTGTGGCGGCTTTAAAAAAAAAAATGCAATAGATGTTAGGAAGGGGTACCGGTAATACCGAAACTTGATTTCTAAATAGTATTATCACATGTGTGAATTTTAATCCAAATGACCTGAAATTTTGTATGCAACATTTTAAAATGATTCTTGATGTGATAATATGACTTTCGAATGCAAATGAATATGATACCCAATACGAAATGTATGGAATGCTAGAAGTGCAATTTTTAGAATTCGGTGTCGAAATGTGTAAAAATGGGGCCCCGGTCAATGTGTTTGACCTATGTAATCCTAATTACAATTAATGTGAGTAATTTGGAAATTTGGGGATAAAATGTGCTCCCTAGAACAAAAGTGCTAGTGTGTGAGTGGATAGTATGATAACCAGAGTTACCGGGCACTTTGGGGTGCATCATTTTGCATGCATTAGTGCATGATTGACTAATAAATGTGATAAACATATTGATATTGTAATTACAAATGTGTTAGATTAAATGGGTGAGACAGTTGGAGTTAGAACAGATACGGTAACACCGGAAGGATCCACTGATAAGATCGAAGGGTTGTAGATCTGTATATTTGAAGTGGGTGTATATTTTTATATGTTTTGGAAATGCTATTATAATATGATAGTAAATGATAGAATTTAATATCATTTCTCCAGGATTATGTGCTATGTGTTTATGTGATTGGATAATGCTTTGTACTGTGTATTGTGAAATGTGATGCACTGTTTAAGACAGGGGTGTCGATGCCTGATCACTGGGTGTGCTGTGGTGTACTAGCACTGGGGTGTTCTCGGGAGGTTCAGGAGACAAGGATCCATGTGGGATTAATTACCCAATGGGGGTAGTGTGGATGTGATGTGGCTTGTGAATTCTTTGCAATTAGATTGACGTTGTTGTTTGATACGTGTATCTACGTAGTATCTACCTACTACAGTGTATTACTATCATTTCCATTTCATATATAGCATGTATGCTCACTGAGCGCGTGGTTTAGCTTACACTCCTATAGCTTTTTCTTTTTAGGTATATAGAGGAGGATGCATACCAGTCCACTGTCTAGTCATTTGAGTCTTGTACAATGTTAGGGTGATATCGCTCAGGTTGAGTGTTAGTATAACTAATTGCTGAGTTGTATATTATATTTGTGAAAGATTATTATAGCAGGTTATTAGTATATATTTATAAACAGACTTAACAAACATACTTTGTGATGTATGGTATGTGGGTATGAGATTTTGTATATGTCTATTACCTGAAAAACAAACAATTGATATAGATGTTTTATATATGATACAGGTTATAAGATGGGTTCTACCATCATACTTAATGACAAAGGTGATAGATGGTGTTGTTGCATCTGTGAGACTATTTAATGTTTGATTAGTCCAGATTATAATAATTATAAACAGGTGTATTACAAACCTAGTCGCATCTCATCCATGGGAGACCAAGATGGGGCGTGATACATAGGCCAGGTGGCGACACTGGTGGGCTACTCTTCAGCAGGCATGGGTCAGCTGATGCTAGTGGATTTAGCGTAAGGCCTCGTGATGGTGAGGCAAACACTTGAATTTTCACTGTTGCCTTAGTCCTAGCATTTACCTTTCCTTAGAATTTCTTGATATCTATTCTGATTTTGATAGGTGCTTGTCCTAATGGAGGTGCTTTGAAGGACGCTATTCGAGGCTTCCCACAAGGCAAGAGGATCGCTAAGGGCGATGATTCGAAGGTAGTTTCTATTTTTAGCTCAATTGACTGTGATGATGACATCGCCTGTATTTTGTCTTCATACTATATGCCTCCCACTGGCATGTGTCATCAGGCGAAGGAGGATAAGCCAGCATGTTGTGACTCTTCGGGTGAGATTGTTCTTTATGATGATGCCTTAGAGGCGGGCTTGAGGTTCCCAATACCCGGACCTATTTGTTAGATTCTACGGCACCTGTCATAGGCCCCCCGGAGGTTGGCTCCCAACGGGTGGAGAGTGATCCTAGCATTTTTCTCACTGTGGCAGCTAGTTCACAATGTTGATGTTCCTCCCCCCATTCGAGGAGTTTTTGGTCACATATGTGCTCCTGGATAACCCTTTCCTCATTAAGGGGGTTGTCGTTTTGCCCCGAGGTCAGACAAGTTCATCACTAAGCTTCCTTCAAACTCTCATAGCTGGAAGTCTAAGTGCTTTTTGTTGGAGATAAGTGGGCCACCGAGGGTGACCTTGACTTTGTGCCTTCGTGGTGGGACACCGTCCCGAGGACCAAGCTAGGTAAGAATTCCACTTTTGTTTTTACTTCTAGTCATCACATATCTATTCTTATTGTGTGATTGGTTTCTCTGTAGTTTCACCCATGTTATCTATAAGTAGGAGAGTAGACTCTTGATAGTTCGTGACCATCCTTTCAAGGAATTCTTAGAGATTATGTTCGCATCAGGTCGTTCCAAGATTTCTCATAGGCCGAAGAGGAAAGGTATCTGATCCTTCCAATAGACTATTGTGAGATTCCGTGTGTTATATAAATATCAATGACATTAGCTTGCTAGTATTTTTAAAATGATTAAAATGATGAGAGAAACTTTGAATCGTTGTTACAGGAATAGTCAAGTAAGTTTGAAGCACGAACGTATTGACTTTTGGGTCAAATTTAATTTTTGAAGGTGTTTAAGGTTGATAAGGGTAACTAAGTAAATATATTAATTTTTATGTCAAAATAATAATATCATTGAATCCGGGAGGTCTGAAAAAACTTGGAATGGACGTTTGGCTTATGCAACGGTTCGGAGGGGTAAAATAGTAATTTTAGTATTTTAGGTGTAAATTAACTTTATTTTTGAGATAAATCATAAAACTAAATATTTTTAGATTAAAATAACATTAAAAATGAATCCAGAATGTCGAAAAGCTTTAGGGTAGTCATATGGATCAAATTGGAATGCTTAGTGGCAAAACCATAATTTCAGAAAAAATATATTTTTTGCCCATGAACAGTAAATTTCAGGATTGTTGGATTTAAAACTCAAATTTTAGCCCCTTTTCTTTCATTTTTTCATTCCACTCTCACCCAATACCTCTTAGAACCCTAGGAGAAGATAAATGGAAAGAGAAAAGGGAAGGAGAAGGTCTCTAAAACTTGGGTTTTACTTGAAAATTCTAGGAACTTGGCTTGAAATTTTTGATTTCTAGGTGGGGTTTTCCTTTCTCTTGTATTTACATTGTGCATCTCATTTATTTTCTTCTGCTAATGCTTACTATGTGTTTGATGACAAAATACTTGTTATAAACCTTGATTTAGTGTTAAGTTTGCCATGAATTGTGAACTCACATACATAAAAATGATTTTAGTGTTATGGGTTTGAAACCCTAGTTTAATTTTAGTTATTGGTATTTGATTAAACCTATAATTTGGGGGTTTTGAGGTATTCTATAATCTTGTACATAATATATATGAAGTGTTCTCTTGGAAATGGAAATAATTTTAGTGTTGTGGGTTTGAAACTCTAGTTTGATTTTAGCTGTGAATATTTGATTAAACCTATGATTTGGGGGTTTTGAAGTATGCTATGATTTTGTACATAATATATATGGTTTATTCTCTTGAAAATGGTTATGTTGCTTTGAAAATGTAACTTTTGAAATTTGAGCCTACTACATGTTTGATAAAATGTCAAGGTTATGACATATGTTTTCAAAAGGATTTATGGATATAGAAAATAATGATTTTTGAAAAATGTATGCTCGATACTGACAGGCAGAGAGTTAGTAGACAGTTGGGGCCTATTGAGTGGGTTACTAAGGCGACTACTAGTCCTAAGGGGGATTAGTTATGGTACTGGTATACGGTGATGACCTATGTGGCATCACAAGTTGTGCCATACACATTTTCCTTGAAAAGCAAGAAGGGGGATGAGACCCTAGGGTGCAAGACCCAAAAGGTTCCTCTGGGATGGTTCATGTGTGAATTGGTGTGATTGATTATATTGTCCGTATGCGAGGCATGCATGATATTTGCTATGATGATTTGACTTTAAATATATAAACCTTTAATTTATACCTTGTATATTTCTAATGTTGAGGTGTTGAGAGATTTTTATAAATGTTTTACTTATTATCTTGTATCTATACTTAAGTATAGAAAGCTTTCATTACTTATTCGAATGGTTTGTGGAATGTTGGTATTTAAAACTTTGTAAATACTTGGGAAAATGATTATCCTATTGAGTTATGGTTGCTTATCCCTTACTAATATTTTCAGAGACTAGCATGCATCATGGGGCATAGGTGATGAAATGCTTGTGGGAGCTTGGACTAGAAAGAATTTATTTTGGAGCCTTTTTTGTGTTTACCTTTAGGACTTATGTAGAAATGTTAGCACTTAGACATTGTGTTTGAAAATGTTATATTGAGGCATTTATGGTGTATACTTGATCATTCCATAAAGGGATTATTACTTTGGGTATTGTAATGTAAAGTAATGACTTTGTGTACTCAATTATAGTATATATTGGTATTGGATGTATCCGAGTTTGGGAGGACTTCATGGGTCTCTAATTGCCACCATGAATTTAGTTGGATTATATTTTTGATGGACGTATGTTGTGGATGTTTAGTTAGTCTAAATTATGTTATACTCTTACAGGGATGCTTTGTTTTAATCACGCTTTTATGAAATTTGGGGCTTGACAAGTTGGTATTAGAGCTTAGGTATTAGGTCTTATATGAGAGATATAGGTACATGGATTATCTAAATATGGTCCCAACACATGAAGTTTTTGAAAGTCATTAGGCTTTTGAGGTTAATTGTAGGAAACGACGTATCTCATAAACTCGACTACATCTCTAGAATGTATATGTTTGAATGGTGATCTAAAGCCTAGTTGCATATGTAGGATAGAGGCAAGAAGAGGACGTGGGAGACCACCCCAAGGAGGGGGAAATCACGTACCACCATGTCATGACACTATGAATGGTATCTACCAATGTTTGAGGGAGCTCACTACATTGGTACAACAACAAGCCGGGAATAACAATAATCATACTACCGCCACCCAAGCTCAAGTGCAACAAGTTGGAGGTGAGGGTAGAAGAATGATGGTTCTTAAAGAATTTCTACGACAATGCCCTCCTATCTTTCAAGGAGGCCCAGATCCACTCGAGGCAGAGAAGTGGCTCCAACAAGTGAAGAAAGTGATGGATGGCATGGATATTGCCAATGACTTGAGAGTTGGTCAAGCTGCATATCTTATGGAAAGGAAACCTGACCATTGGTGGGAGTTAGTAAAAAGAAGGAGAAACGTGGAACAAATGACATGGAAAAATTTTGAAGAGGTTTTCAATGGGAAGTACTTTCCCAAATCAATGAGGGATAAGATGACATCTGACTTCATGGTACTTCAACAACGTAACATGACTGTCACTCAATATGAGTTCAAGTTCGTGGAGCTCTCCCGCTTTGCTATAGAATATGTATCGACTAAGGTCAAGAAGGCCAAATTGTTTGAAAAAGGTTTGAAGTCATCTATTCAGGAGAAATTGGTAGCTCTTCGCATTGTGACTTTGGAGAATTAGTTGAGTGGGCTACCCTAGTGGACATAGATTGGGAGGAAACTCAAGTCATTCGAGAGCATTTCCAACATAGGAAGAGTCAATCTAAGACTGACAGTGGTAGTGGTGGACGTCACAGGGATACTCCATACTAGCATTCAGAGCGCATTATGGGTCAAGGGAGTGAGTCAAGCTATGCACAAAGTTTGAGACCAGGGGCCATGTTGAGAGAGTGTCGACACACTTAAAGCGGTGTTATGGGTGTGGTGGCACAGGTCACCTTAGGAGTCACTACCCATCAATAACTTCTTCATCACAGGGACAAAGTACTAGGGGATTTTATCAACAGTCCACAAAGCTACCATATTAGCAAACTTCTTCTGCTCATGTACAGATAGTACCACAGCAACCCCAGACCACTTAATTCAAATCTCAACCACAATAGTAAGCTCAACAGAAGAAATAGGGAACCAAGACTCAGGGCACTGATGCCTCAGCTCGCATTTATGGTTTAGTTCAGCCTGATGGGAGTGCTTCGAATGTAGTAGTAGAGGGTATGATTCTTCTCTATAATTCATGGGCTCAAATCTTGTTTGATCCTGGGGTAACCCATTCTTTTATTTGTACATCATATGCCATTGCATTGGGGTTGGAGTTTGAGCCTTTGGGTTATGTGATATATGTATATCTACCTACTAGGGATTGTTTGGAGACAACTAGTGTGTAGAAATTGAGTACTTCGCTTTGGAGAGAAAGAGTTGAGGGTAGATTTAATTGCTTTGGAGAGGATGGGGTATGATGTTATTTTCGGAATGGATTTACTCTCTCCCTACCATGCTACTATGGATTGCTACTGGAAGAAAGTGGTATTTTGTGCATCGGGTATACTTTGCTATTTCATGGGTGAAAATAGTATCCCTTGACATCTCCATACGATGGGGAAACACGTTTTGAAGGTTGATATTGGGAGTAGCCTAAGTTTCTTAGCCCATATTTCTGGAGAGGAACAGAACGATGCAGAGTCCACTTTTATTCTTATAGTATCCAACGTTCGTAACTTTTTTCTCGACGAGTTGCCTAGATGACCTCTGTTGAGGGAAGTGGAGTTTTCTATTGAGCTTTACCCTTGTACAGAACCGATATCCATTGCTCCTTATGGCATGGCGCCGTTGGAGTTGAAGGAGTTAGGGAAA